CAATGTTTATTTTGAAATGACATTAATTTTTCTAAAAAGCTACGTACATAAAACAATGCCACGTCTTCGTGGACGAGGAGGAAATATTGGACGATGGACTCGGAATTCACAATATTTCCAGAACCGTCGGTTAAATAGATCGGATAGATCACACGTACTAATGAAAGTCAAGAGCAACATGATGAACGCCGTCGAGCTAATGCATTAAAACAAAGATGGCCCGTCAACGAGTCACCAAAACATTATAAAATAAAACTATTATAATTATTATTATCACTATTATTTACACAATTTGAATAGTTGATTGAATAGTTAATGAATCACATTGCGATATTCAAATATCACAATAGAACAAATTTGGACCGCCAAAGGTGGACTACACACTTTCCACATATTTGTTTTCATTCAGTTCTAACACGGCCAAAACCAAAAATGAATATGAGAAAAAAATTATATTACAAATTGGCACGGGCAATGCCGGGCGCGAGACAGCTAGTAGGTATAGATATTTCTTCGTTTTTCAAAAAAATCCCGAAAGTGTTTTGTCTCACTTGGGTCTTTTAATAATATTGTTAACGATATCGTCAATGTTTATTTTTTCTTTTTTAGCGCATGTAATACCGCTGCATCGTCAAAACGTATTTACGTAGTTGTTTGCCTTAAGAACGTTTTTGAACGCCGAGGAGCAGAAAAAGAACGCTCAGCTGTACACGATGAAACCGGTGTGGTTAACATGATTTTAATTGATTTCATCACATCCGGTAACAAACACTGTAAATACACAACTCTCGTTTCAAAAAATCGATTGCGTTAGACGCTGGCGATAAATCAAACTTATTCGGTTTAGCAATATCCGACGTAATATTGCAGCGGTACAATTCTAATTTAGCCCAACCGAAATCGGAGCCGTTATAAGTATTCAGGTATAATAGATACAACTAATTGTTTTAGGTTCTGCTATAAGTCTTCTACTTTAGCGAGATTTATTAAAACGTACGAAAATATTGAACTCCGTCGTCGCACTCGTCGTCCGTAGACGTCGACAACGCCAGCGAATTAACAAAAAAAAACCCAAAACATATATTAATTAAAAATGATTATTTTAAAGTGACGCGTGATATCAAAGCATTAAATATTCATATTTTCTATTTATTTCATAGGGTGTGCGAGCACCGCAGCACCTCGATACCTCGGCGCCCATGGCCTGGATATCTTTGAGCCGATACTTACAAATGAATATTTATCTACGCCCCTTTTTACGAAACACCGTCGAAATGGGTCCTACATAAAGTGTAGTTTCCTATCGCTCTATATTGCAGCAATTTTTCCATCCAAACACATGAAACAATCAAAATTTTTAGAAATCAGTCAAAGTATTTGTTGAAGTGTGATGCTATAAATAAAAATCAGATAAAAAAAAATCAAATTATTTATTCGTTTTTTTTTTTTTTTTTGAAATTACATTTAGTTGTAGCCGATTTCGGGTATAGAATAGTTGATCCAAGTTGATCCAAGTTGATCCATGGAAATCGCTTGAGGAAAACCGATATATCTGAAAACGATATTCAAAATAGAAGCGGTCGTTTAAAAAACAGGCGAAGTATTGTCGCACGCATTCGCGCCCGAAATACAAGTCGTAAAAAAAATAAAAAATACAGCCATTCGTAGGAATTTTCAGATTCGTCTGTCTAGTTTAGGGTCCCGAAAACAGAATTGAAAAACATTTACAGGGCGATGCGGGTGGTAAAGTGGACGCCGTTTCCGCGGGCTCGTGGCGTACGTGGCGGGGCACAAGCGCACGGCAAACGTATTTTCGTCGCGTTTGTTAGTTTTATTAGCGTCTCGGTTTACCGAAAGTCGATAATAAATAGCCCGGTAGAAGCCGCTTGTATCGGGAACGCAGATGATGATACTGATACGATCGCGTTATTGAAACGAAACGCATAATTGCGCGTTACTAAAAACAAGTTGAAAACCAACGGGAGTATGCGTTCATGCGAAACGATACTTGGGCCGAGGTCGACGGCGAAATCCAGGTAGTTCGGCCGATAACCGTTGCGCCGAATTGAAACGATCTGATGCTTTCTCCGGATATAATCGCATTTTTTTCGATCGTTCCTCAGCGTTTGCGAGCAAAGTATTCAAACACACACACACACACACACACGCACACACCCCGATACAGTTTAGGTCGTGCGTCCGCCTTTCCGGAAATCTATAGAAATATCCATAAGATCGGGGATTGGATACGGAACAAAAACGTGCATGTGTTGTTAAAAATTATGCGATGCGCTTTGATCCGTCGACGAAACACTCGGTTTTACGGTTCGTGTAATATACTCATTTTCCTCCTTACCAAGGCAGTTTTCTCGAACCCACGCGTACGCTCAGACATCCCCGAAGCG